CACCTTCCAGGAAGGGTGACACGTCGTTATCAGTAAGCCTTTGTTGTTGTTGACGTTTGGCCATTTTACGTTCAGTCAAGTGTTTGTGAAGGTCTGTACTTCCTGCGCACTGCTCACCGTTGTTCTCGAAGTTTTGACTCCATAGAGCAGAACTGTTTTGATATGTGTGTTGGAGATTCTGACTTTGGTTTGCTGAGTCAGCCTCTTTGGCTCCCATATTTTCTTTTATAGCACAAATCCTGACATAGACTTTAAAACTCTGGCAAAAGACACCAGCTTTGGATCCACCATGTATGTCGATGGTGCTGCCCAAGTTGGGGAAGGCCTCCACTTCTTCGAGTGCTGCATCAAGTATACCATTATTCAATAATTGGAAAAATTGTTTTAACAAAGAGCTGCACAACTGGCGGCCCGAGGGCAAGCTGCGGTCCTCTGTACCGTAATTTTCTTCCCACGACAAATTACACAAAACCTTTTTATTAATACATCGTTATCGAAGGTTTCCAGGTGACAATAACTCTGACGTATGATTCCACGTGACCATAACACTGACGTATGATTCCACGTGACCATAACACTGACGTATGATTCCACGTGACCATAACTCTGACGTATATTCCACGTGACTACACCACTGGCGTATGAAGAGGGGTTCGAGAGGATGGTTTGCTACGTCCTTGCGGAACTTGTTGGAGGGGTGGCATTCTAGGGCCAATGAATATAAAATGTATGGATTTTGTTTCATGGATATTCTGCATAGTTTGTGGCTTTCGCGAGGAGAAGGAAATTCAAAGACGTGCCCCAGTGGTATCAAACACTAGCTTCACGAGATGAGGCTTAATTTGTGTTAATCGATTTTATGTTCTAGTAGCTAACACTGTCTGACGATCAATCATTAAAGCAATTTTTAAATTAAAAGATCGAAATACATTCTTCTAAAAATAGCCCCTTTCAAACCAATTGTCTATTGTGAACACTTCAACTTCATGGCTTAAATTCCACGTGTGGGGCATGCCCGATTAATATGAATATAACACGAGACACGAATCTAGTGTTAAGTTAGGCAGTCCTGGAGCTGTTCCATTTGACCTAAAAGGCTGAAGGGTGTAAACGCCTCTGAAGCAACCTGAACGGTGTAGGTGCCTCTTTGGCGATCGGAAGGAATAGACGCCCCTATACCACCAGAAGGGTGTAGACGCCTCTGGGGCCACTTGTAAGGAGGTTTAAAAATAGCGGGCGAACCATTTTTTTTTTTTTTTTAATCTTTTAATGGTTATAAGGTAGTTGAGCTGTATTGAAAATAACCTGAACGGTGTAGGTGCCTCTTTGGCGATCGGAAGGAATAGACGCCCCTATACCACCAGAAGGGTGTAGACGCCTCTGGGGCCACTTGTAAGGAGGTTTAAAAATAGCGGGTGAACCATTTTTTTTTTTTTTTTAATCTTTTAATGGTTATAAGGTAGTTGAGCTGTATTGAAAACGTTAATGGAACCATTAAAATTACCTTTGACCACAAAATCTTCAGACAATGGATAAAAAGGCCTTCAAACGGTGGAAGAATGATGTCGAAAATGGCGATCAAAGAAAACAAGAGACTATATTTTATATAATATATGGGTGACATCATGGACTTTAATCTTTAGGAACTGAAGGCTTGGCGGAAAAACTAGCAAGACAGTCGTAAAGAATTCAAAGGTCAAAGGACGCGTCGCGGAATATTTACGGAGAGGATTCCAGTGATCAATTCAGCAGTGACCCATATAACCTCAACTCCATGAACCCTTCAACCCCACGTTCATGAACCCTTCAACCCCACCTCCATGAACCCTTCTACCCCACGTTCATGAACCCTTCAACCCCACGTTCATGAACCCTTCAACCCCACGTTCATGAACCCTTCAACCCCACGTTCATGAACCCTTCAACCCCACGTTCATGAACCCTTCAACCCCACCTCCATGAACCCTTCAACCCCACGTTCATGAACCCTTCAACCCCACGTTCATGAACCCTTCAACCCCACGTTCATGAACCCTTCAACCCCACGTTCATGAACCCTTCAACCCCACGTTCATGAACCCTTCAACCCCACGTTCATGAACCCTTCAACCCCACGTTTATGAACCCTTCAACCCCACGTTTATGAACCCTTCAACCCCACGTTCATGAACCCTTCAACCCCAACTCCATGAACCCTTCTACCCCACGTTCATGAACCCTTCAACCCCACGTTCATGAACCCTTCAACCCCACGTTCATGAACCCTTCAACCCCACGTTTATGAACCCTTCAACCCCACGTTCATGAACCCTTCAACCCCAACTCCATGAACCCTTCTACCCCAAGTTCATGAACCCTTCAACCCCACGTTTATGAACCCTTCAACCCCACCTCCAAGAAAAAAATTAAAATAGAAATCCGCTTCTTTATGAAAATAATTCAAACGGAGATTAGGGGATTAGGGGATTAGGAGATTAGGGGATTAGGAGTTTAGGGGATTAGGGGATTAGGGGATTAGGGGATTAAGAGATTAGGGGATTAGGGGATTAGGGGATTAGGGGATTATTGGAAAAAGTTGCTCAAACCTGATGATGAGAGTTTTTCCAAGATCTGCTAGGGCAGCGGTTCTCAACCTGTGGGTCGCGACCCCCTTGGTGGTCGCGTGATCCTTTTCCAGGGGTCGCCTAAGACCATATGAAAACACATATCCTTACAGCTATGAAGTAGCAACGAAAATGATTGTGTGGCTGGGGGTCGCCACGACACGAGCAACTGTATGAAAGGGTCGCGGCACCAGGAAGGTTGAGAACCACTGTGCTAAGGAAATGTAAAATAGTCGTGACTAATCTATAATTATTTTATGTTGAATGAAGATATTGTAGACTACTTTTGTTTGTTTCAAATATTATGTCTTTGGCTATCTATGTCATATCTATGTGTACCTAGGGTTGCCAGATACATGGACACCAAAAGGAGGGCATAATAAAAAAAAAAAAGAGGACAAAGGAGGACATTTTGAATGTTTCATTTGAGTCGTCCCGGATTAAACTCACAGTCAGCACACTTTTATTGTAATAGATGCCAATTAAATGTATCTCACTCTTAGTAAATCGACCAATAAACAGTCACGTTAAAAAAACAAATAAAATGGACGCCTTTTTCAAAATGTCAAAAAACATCATTAAAATAGCCAATTGTACAATCATTGCCTTATAATCTTTATTAATTACATAACATATTTCTCGGAGGAGCCAACTTTTCGCAGAGGATCCTCGTTAGCCATCACATATGCATAAAACTGTTCACAGCTAAGATTCTTCAAATTGTTGGCAACGGACAAGTAACTAACGCAAATTGTACACTTTGCCTCATTCTCATTGCGTCCTTCAAAGAAGCAAGGAAACTTATTTTTTATATTGTTCGAGAATTTTCATTTTCTCTTTGTAGAAGCCATTTCATAAACATAGACGGCAAAAATTACAAATTAAAATAAAACAATTTTAATTTGCGATTTGTCGGAACTGGGAATACCATTAACATTTTGACCATTGATAATACAGCACAGAGCTAGCTTGTTAGAATGACTAAAATCGACTGGTTCGCAGAAATGCATAGAGCTTTTACATTGTAACAACGTAACCATACGATGTAATATTTGTAACAACGATGCATACAAATTATAATATAAAATGTAAGAAAAGCCGGACATTTTAAAAGATTTTAGCTTTGCCTGCCGGACGGAGAATATTGAGCTAAAAAGGAGGACATGTCCTCCTTTTGCCGGACGTCTGGTCTGGCAACCCTATGTGTACCTTACCTTGAATTTTTGCTTTAAATCTTAGCTATTAAAAATAGACTTATCACGCTTTTTTTTTTTGCTTCTTTCAGTAGGCGCCATAATATGTCAACGGTACGCCTCTGGAGAGAGGTGATGTCAAACTATTTTCTCGAGGACATAGTCAAATAAGTTTAACCGCAGGCCTGCAGTCTATTTTGAAACTTATTTAACATATCACTGTCATTTCCGCGCACCGAAGGAAGTTCAGAGCTATTCTAGTGTCTCTGGTTTTTCATTTTTATGTTACTTTAGCAGTTTAAATAGTTAACATATTTTTAATAATTAATTGTAAAGCGCTTAGAGCTGTAAGGTAAGCGCTATACAAAAATGCCTAAATAAATACATAAAATATCAATCCGACCCTCACCCATCTAACAGTTACACCGCTAGGAATATGGGGTAAATTGAAAACTCGGGCATATAAGTTCTGAATATGAATCAACAACAACCCCCCTCCCCCGGACCATGGGCGCCCGCAGGTAGGAGCAAGGTGGGGCAC